TGGTGATGCACAAGTACAAAATGTTGGAGAATTTTTTCATATGGTAAGAACAATAGAATGAGATAGGTGATACTAGAAAGACATATTATTACTAAATAGATTAATGATGTAATGGAATGTTGGTATATACATGAATCTAATCTTTAGAATATTTGTTTAAAAAATGAAGGAATAATAATTGTAAGCTGAATGATTGTATGATCTACAATGAGAATAATGTACCTATGTATACTTGATGGACAATCTGTGATTTTATATATAATTGAAAGCAGTGATACACAAATGTTTGTAACCAAATGACATGCTATATGTATATGTAATTGATGATGGTTTTATGTTTCATGTGTTGTTCGTCTTTGTTTGTCTAAAAATAAATAAAAAACTTTTTTTAAAAAAGAAGTCCACCACAGCTTGTTCAATGCAACACCAAATGAACTATGGAAGAAACGTCAACTTAGCTACATATGAATCTAGAATTAAACTAAATGGACAAAAAGATCTTGTATAAGTTACCAATCAATAATATTTGTAGCTCAGGGTTGAAATGAGGGGTCCTTGGTGCTGAGCTTGTTTTTTTGCAGACATTTCATTACCCAAACTAGGTAACATCACCAGTGCTAGTGAAACTGTGTAATGAAATGTCTGCAAAAAAACCAATCAAGCTCAGAGATCACCAAGGACCCCTCATTGTGTTCCCCACATTCCTAATAAGCTGCGATTCCTACCTTCTGTTGGTGTGGCAGAAAAAATTCATATGCCAGGAAGTGCCAATTGTTTATCATGTGCACAATCCAGATGATGGTGTACATTTTTTGCAGCCTATTATGAAGTATGGGATATTTTTGCTACTTGTCAGCTGTACAAACTTCAGGAGAATTGGGATGTATGAGAAGTATGTATTGAAGGTATTGGGAAATTATATGCTTATGCTTATACCCCACTCCTAACTATGGATCAGTTTTTAAATTTTAAGTACTAGAATCCTTTGCATGTAATAATTCACTTGTAGATATATATTTCTAGAGAGAGGTTGCTTGAAGAATATAGCTTCTGAGGTACAGTAATTGCTTATCTGTAGTTAGTTGGCTTGTGAATTCTATAAATACCAGGGTAAATGGAACTATCTGAAGACTGCCTTTCTGACAGCAACAGACGTGAAGGAAGATGCTTGTTCACAATGGGGTCCAGAATACCCCATACTTCCTTACCATTAGACAATCTGAGAGTTAAATTTCTAGCAATGATCCTGCAATTTCTGAGGGAAAACATTATTTGGAATTATTTTTCATAATTACAGTACTGCCACACACAATGTCTACATCAAGGATGAATCTTTGCTTTGATAATCTACTTTTATCTTGCCCCAAACACCTGCAGGTTATAAAAGAAAAAAGGAAAAGTCAGTGCAAGCTGTGGAGTGCATGGATTAAGGGCCTTGGTTCTTGTTTGCATACTTCATCTTTTTATGGCTTTTCATCATACTACAAAACAAGAGCATAAAGACAGGACGACTCCTCAGATGTGGGAAGTCAGTACAGAAAAACATCATAAAATCTATGTGAGCTTCCTTGTGGAGGCAAAAGGAGGAAGCGATTACTCTCCATCTTCCTAAGGCATGGAAAATAGGGATTACATCAAGGATTGCAATTTCTTCTTGAAATTATATTCCAAATATTCATCCAAAGGTGACAAATTAAATATAGCCTTTACATTGGATTCAGCACCTTCACTTCTTCAGGTTTACTACTCCGTATATATTTTTATCTTAGGACCATGTACTTGTATAAATAAATGATGGGCACCTTGCATCATGTGAGAATGACAGTTCTGTTGAACTTACACATTTTCTTAGCAAAATTACAATGGTCGTTTGCATTGTATGAGGTTTGCATTGTTATTTTATTATATTTGCTGAATAATGTAAGTGTACTAATCAAATCACATTTGATTAGACCTAGGTCATTTTGCCAGTGTGAAGTGGGTTACAAGGGAATAGATTAAAGGAAGGATGCAAACTGAAATATGTAGGGCATCACCCAATATGCTAGTCTGAATTTAAAACCTTATGTTTTGTAATAGCATCCGGGTTATGTAAAGCTCAAGACCCCTAACTGATAATATTATTTTTCAGTAATAGACTTCACTTTATGAGAAATTCATGCTTTGGAGCGCTCAGTTTTCCCTTCAACTGAATAAAGAAAAGGGGATGCAACTTAATTTGCTGAACTTTTTTTTTCCTGGGAAAGTTAGCAGATTTGCAGTTTTATACACTTAACAAATGTCATGCAAACCAGGCACCAGAGAAGCTTGTGAGGTTAATTTGGGCTAGCAGAAGTATGTATTACATTTGTATACACTTACACACATGGGGAGCTAAGAAACCTTTCATCTGAGACAGCTGCTGCATCACATTTTCCCAGTCTAAGCCAGTTCTTTAATGTGGTTTATTTTTCATTTATGAAGGATTGGGCAGGGCTGGTTTATAATTTTGACACTCCTGTGTGAAACAAAGAAAGAAAGAAAAAAAGAAGAGCCCCTCTGGGAGGAAAAAGATGAGGAAGATGTTTATCACACCAACTAATGAAAATGAATACCTCTGGGTCAACAGCTGGAGGGCTTTACAGGTGCAGATATGTGTTTTAGAATCCTACTTAAAAGATCCCTGCAAGCCAAACATTTTAGGGCGAAAACTATGTGTTTCCAAGAACCTTTAGTTCATCATGCTTCAGGCATATTTTAAATTGTTCATTCTTATTTTTCATTATTTTCTTATAATCTAGCTATTATTGACTAGAAAGATAAAATGTAGCTTCATCGTAGATAAAATACTAAGTACAACTCAGATATGATGAGAATTATTGCACTAGAATGCCGGTGTAAAATGTGGTCCAATGTAATATTTTAAATCTAAACAATCACTCTGTGTGTTGACACTTTGGCCAAAAATATTATAAAAGTAGTTTGGATCAAGACTGTTCTCTCACATGGCCCCCAACCTGAACGTTTTGGATTATAGATTCAACAACATCACTGCATAGTTATATTTTTATACAGTGGACTCTATACAGAGTCACAAGCACTACCAAATTGATCTGGGGATCTCAGAAGGGCTGTGCAAAAGCCAATAGTAATTGTCTCCAAGTAATTACTTTACTATAATTGTCTTAGTGGTCGGGACACACTTAATGATGATCAGTTAATGGTAATCTGTACCGTTATGTGCTTGTCCCAATCTGGAATGAAAAGGTGTTTATTTTACATTTTTGGCAAAATCTAATACTCACTGTTGGCTTACACATGCATATTGTCTACAGTGTTTTTCCTCTCTTTTCCAGTTTTTTTTAATGATTGGAATAGTTTGTACAATAATTTTGGGAATTACAGGCAATAGAAGCTAGTAACTACTTCCACTTAAGAAAAAGATAAGCACAGTGTTCACAATCCAAATGGATAGAGAGTACTTTTCTGACCCTTCATCACTTTGCACCCCATTTCTTCTCCCCTTATGTAATGTTTTTTAACCTCATATGCAAAGTTGAATCAACATGCACTACCTTCCTTTTCTAATTAGTGGTACTCAGAGAACTGGCACTTTCATTGCAGATACTCTGGTCAGCTGTTGTTTTGGCGGAAAGCAATCTGTGTGGTCCTCGCTCTTAGCTTGGCTGGCAACAAAATGCGTTCACTGGATTTACAGGGACCCCATATCATCCTCTGCAAAGCAGCCTGCCTGTCAATGAGAAGAGGAGCAGGGGAACTCTTAGTTAAATGGAGGAGACAGACAGATGTCGTTGTAAATATTTCTTTATTAAGAGGTAAAGAAGAAGTTGGAGCAGGAGTGGCTGTCAGCGTCAGTGATGCCAGGAGAAATTCATGTAGCACAATCTCCAGCTGAGCTATTGGTTCAGGTTGCCAGAAATCCATCCTTCAATTCTGCCAGACTCAGATTTCCATCAGCTGTTCAGTGCCCATAATAACTTCATTTGCATGTTTAGCTGCAATAGAGAGGGAGGGAGAGAGAAGGGGGGGAGTAGCATTTGGGAGAGAGAAAAGTTTAAAAGTTATGCTTTGTCCACTGTGACACAAAAGAGACTATGTGGTGCATGTGGCAGTGATGGGGTAAAGTGAAAGCCTCAAATATAATGTTCCAAGCTGAGTGAAATAACCTGGTTTCAGAACTCGAATGAGAAAACTTTCATGTCTGTATCACTGCAGTCAAGTAACACAGCTGGGAGGTACAGAATCACATAAGCATAAAAGGAAGGTAACACTCTCCAATCCTAAGCACTGTTCAACTTTCTTGGGTTAGCCCTACATGGAAGTGGGCCCAGAATCACTCAATCCCTGGTTGAGAGGCAACGCTTCTTCAGCTGGCTTCATTCTGTTCTCAGAGCCAGATAGGAATTTACAAATTCTCCACCTCCCCAGAAATTTTTGACCAGGCTGTCTTTTATTTGCCATTGGCAGGGCTACAGATGCATTCAAACCACACAGAAAAGAGGGATTAAATAAGGTACTTTCAAAACTGTCCCAGAATTTGTTGGCATGATTGCTTAAGACCAAGAGCATCTCTGCCAGGCAGATTCGGAGCCCCATCAGAATGTGAGGGAGGCAGGACTGCCTGGCCCAGGAGCTCCCACCTGAATGGCTTAGAGAATGCGGCACTTATTTTTATAGGGAGTGCGGGAAGAATCAGACCTTGGAAAATGTAGGTGTGACAAACTTACAGAAAATCTGGCTCCTGAAGTTTATGGATTACAGTATTGTGTATAATGGGGCAATTTGACAAACATAAGGACAACAATGACTCTGTTCCAACAAACTCCAACATGGTACTGGAGTGAAAAGTATCCCCCCCCCCCCCCCCCCCCCCC